TATTTAAAGATATCAGCAATGCCACACAATGCCACAAATAGGGCAAATTTAGCTTTGGATGACTCAATGCTAAGAATGGAAAAGAAATTAGCTCAGCTCTTTGGAAATCTTTTATAAAAAAGCTTTTTAAAATTTAAAATCACTATGTTTTCCTAACACTATTCATGTCTCAGCTTTCCCACAGACCGAAATTTGATTCTAGAAGTAGTATTTCTCGCTAACACATAAGAGCTTCTAATTTTGACCTTCCGTTTTGATCACTCTTCGTATTCTCATATTACTATTGGTAGCAAAAATATATTCTCATAAAAAACAAGAGTAGTGCATTTCAGTTATGGTTTTCTATTGATTCAGTTACACTTGAATTGATCTCAAATTGTTTCAAGCAACTGTTCTGCACCCAAAACACCACATGAACCACAGAAACCAGATCAATAGATTTCAAGTGAAATAATTGTTTTCCTTTGTAAGACCCCATTACTTCTTGAATGAAGAACTGTTTGATTGACCTCCAGGAAAGCAGCAGATGTGAATAAGCCAAGCACCTCAGGCCTTATCATTTAAAGGGAGGCCTTGAAAATTACAGGAAAGTACACGAACATGTGCTCGGTTAGCTGTGGGAAATACACAGCTGGAGAAGCCACAAAACTGCATTTGACTCTGATAACATGAGAGCAGTAGTACATGCACGGCGGACATAGACTTTTAGAGTTAGTCACGAACACACCAAAATATTTTACTAGGTAAAAAATAGTTCAAGGATTCTTGAGTGACTGGTTTTATTTTCACAGCCTGGGTACTAGTGAGTTTATTGTCTGGTGCTGAGAAATTTCACATGGCTTGCCACTGGACTCACTTTCTTCACAGTGTGTGAGTGACTACACACCTACACTGCTTTCTGCGTGCAGCCATTTCCAGACTGCCATATTCAGACACACAAGGTAGGAGGCATAAACCAGTGCAGCAGCCGAGGACATCAGGGTGACCCCATTAATTCTACTGGCAGGATGCAGATTTATACCATTTTTTATTTTATTTTAGCTATTGATTGGGGTGCCCAAAGTGAGATAATAAACAGTGCTGCCAAAGAGAGCAAGACAGGCTCTTCTAGGGGCTGGGTACAGCCCGATGCAGGGGCTGTGCTGACCTGCACGCAGCACAGATAGCCCTAGGGGATGACATGCTAACAATAACCCCAGGCTGAAAATCTGCAGCACCGCACGGGGAGCCCTCCAGCTGCAGCCCTGCCTCTGCTCCTTCTACCACAATGCATTTGCACCCCAGGACAAAGCCTCACCTACCTGCAACAGGCCCTTGTGCACAGAAGAGAGGCCAGGGAGCATCATCTCTGTCCACATGAATGGGCAGGAGCATGGTGACTGCAGGAACCTGAGCGGCAGTGTAACTGAAAGGGCTTGGAGGACAGAGCAGCGGGACAGGGGGGCAGGACACCCTGTGAGGATGTTTGCAGGAAGGTGATGCCAGAAGAAGGGACAAACCTGGCAGGGTGGACCTGTCCATCTCAGCCCCAAATACTGAGCTCTCGCCATTATACAAAGGCTAAAATGGCAAATGGCAACAGCAAAATTACTGCTTAGGCAATGCAAACACGGGTGTTCACCCAGTAGACATCAATACCAAACTAAGGTAAACATGTGCACTTACTTAAAAATTGCAGTTTTCCTCAAAAAAATTTTTTTTTGATAATTTCTTCGCTCAGCTGATGCTTCCCCCCGACACACACACAAAAGTAGGAAAGTAGAATACAGTAGTGATATTTTGTGGTGTTGCTCTCCCAAGTACAGGTCCTCTAGGTATTGGAAATCTTTATTTCTTCTAATTATATTGCAAATAAATGAAATGCTCGCATTATGCCTTAGAATGTTTTTCTAAGGAAGTCTTGGTTAGCTCCTAGCACACATTAGACTTGATCTGGACTTTAGTCTTTTATGAGCGCAATTAACTGCAAACACCTTGTCATAAACATTTTAAAAGGTCAAAGAGATTGCAACAATTTTGCTAAAGAGATAAATGGTCAAATAAAACATTGAATTGTTAATTCCCAGGTGACAAAAAGCTGCATGAGTCAGATCAATAAGAAGACACACAGAACGAATTCTGGGATAAAGGGCGGGTCAACCTTGAAGTGTTAATAACTTGCTCCTATTATTTGGCTCTGGCACATCATGTGCTCTAGCAGGTAACAGAGCTGCTAATAGCAAATTAGCATCCAGAGAATCACAGAAGTATAACTGGGCATCAGAGATTCTTGAAACAACAACAACAAAACACTATTTGAAAGGATTTAGCTCTATTAATACCAAGAAAAACAGTGAGTTTATAGAAGACAGGTAAGAGCACCTTCCTACTATTTCTTATCTAATGTGTTAGTCAACTGCTGGATAGGGCATACCCTTTGTCTTTCTCTCTCTCTCCACATTTTCTCCTATCAACCTTGTTCTTAATGACTAGGCTTTTATTAAACAGTGCCTGCTGAAAGCATACTGCTTTATTTAAGAGAATTGTGAGAAATTGGTACATTACACAAAAATTGGATATGCTGATGCGGATGTTGAGGTGGTCTGTACTGTCACAGCTGTTGTTACAGAGCTTGGACAATTTATATTAGCCAGTCTGCCCCATAGAAGGCATCAGTGTTTGTGGAAGGTCAGCTACAGAAATTAGCATCTTTGCCAGATACGTGCTCATCTGAGAGGAGACAGATTCTCTTTGATCTTTCTGAAGTAGATGTGCTGTCATACCGTTATGCTCGGCATTTCTGTCTGCTGAAAACAGTGGTTTATAACTATAGCTACTTTGTAAGCTCGTCCTTCTGTTACTGGGAAAATCATCCCTTTCTGTCAAACACTGACCATTCCACTCCAAATGCAAATTTGGAATTGAAAATATACAACTGGCATTTGGACTGACATTCGGACAAATTGAAATTTGGAAATTTAGGTAACAATATCAGGTCAAAATACTGGGTATGAAAGGGGGCTTTACAGATTCAGTCAGAAGATATGGTCTCTTTTCCCCAATTCACCCCATTCAACATGACATTAGTTGGACTACAGGAAAAGTCATACAAAACAGACTCCACTCATCTCATTTTGTGACTACCTTCAGATGAGATGACTGATATTTCTTTCAAATTGTTGAATTTTTCTTTCCATCGTATTCATAAAATTCCAACAGGGAGTGGATAAATGCCAAATATGTCACTTGGAACTGTTTGTTGAATGACTGTGGTCCAGAAACTGGCTCTTATTTACCAGTGAGGTAAAATGGGCTCCTATTTTCAGTTTATTCTTGGAAAAATATTGAGAAGAGTTTGAGGCTGTTGGAAGGAGACCACCTGAAGAACTCTCTTCTCAAAGACAATTCTATTTTTTTAGACCCTTCCAGAGAGAAGGGTCTAAATTAAAAGGGTCTAAATTAAAATGGTCAAAATTAAAAGTCACAATGCAAATAAAATTATCTCACCATTATTTAACTACGGATATCTTGGAGTAAAAGACAGACTTTTTCCAAAGAGGACTGTTCAACTCATGGAACAAAAAATGAAGAAATGTAAAAGTCTATGAGGAATCAGTAGCTCCTGATGCACTGCAAAAAATATCTACCAGCATCTGCAGGAAGGCAGAGGTCTGAGAAATTCAAACTAAACCAAAGCATTATTTAGTGCTATAAAATATAGACAGCGATGTCTATATTGATCCCACTGGACACTTGGAGCCAAATGAACATTTGAAAGGTCAGTAATTTTACTTGTGCCAAATTGGAATGTTAGTCATTTGCATAAGACTGCAAGCCAAATATCAGAGTAAATTCATATGTAAATTTAATTACGCCATACCTCTAAAAGCAATCTTATGTCATCTGGCATGAATAATGTTGAGAAAGCACATAATCCCATAAAGCATGCTGAACTATATACATGCTGTGATACATATAATGCAGAAAGACTACATGGCAAATACCTATTTTGTGAGCTTTATAAATGCCATGAAAACAGATTTTCCTCTGACAGCAAATTTTAAGGTTCTGTTGGCTACTCACTAAATGATTTCACAAATGATCATAAACTCTTGTCTTCTAGTGCACCTCAGAAATATTTGTTAGGATTTACATAGACTGCGATCTAAAAGGGTTTATTTTTAATTGGGTTTAATATTAAAAAGAGAAAGACATGATAGTGTACTTTCCCCAAAAATATATATTTTCACTTTGTGTCTTCTAAAAGCATGACTTGAAATATATAGCACGAGGCCTCAAGGCTCACTCAATCAATGGTAGTTATGACACTAAAAATGATGGCTATGGGACATGACTTAGGTGAGTTTTTCTTTTCCTAGGGTATTTAAAATTTAAAGAGAAGCCTAAGAGACTTCCACAACACAAAACTAATAGTACTAAATAATAATTACTAAATGGGTCTGTCTAACATGTGGAAGGAGACAGGAGAAGAATAATTCAAACTGATGTTAAAGCAGTATCACATGAAGTCAGCTGACATCCTCAGAAGACACATGAAGAACGCAAAGGGACATGAACTGACATCCTACCCTTTAGCAGCTCCTCGGGGATTATAAGCATTTCTGCAAAAACCCTGGTGCATTCCAGCCCCGTTCTTCTACAGCTCAGGTACCTGGAAGCTGCCCCGATCCACTTTTGTTCCATAGACATCACCTCCCACACCACCCTTCTTTCTGAAGGTGTAATAGAAGATTGATGCAAAACTATACACTGGCACCTTTGGGAGTCTGTGCGACAAACTGCACTGTCCTTCAAGGACACAATGCAGACAGTGACCACTGTATGGACCTTCCTTACTTAGCCCATGACCCCTGAGAAATGAAGGGATTCTGCACGGACAGCCTAGGGGCTAGCAGGGCATGAGAGCTCCCCAGTAACACTCCCTTCCACAGCGAGATTACAGGCATGCTTCGCTGCCTTCTGCACCCCAGGGTAGAGGAGAATGTAAAAAACAAAATTACCTTTGCTCTTTTGTTGCTGTGATTGTGAAAACACCCATGTGGTGATCCATGGATTTCTGGCTAGCATGAAGATCATACATTGTCAGGCCTAGAAAGAAAGACAGGAAGATATTTTTTTCAGGTTGTCTCAAATGGCAAGGCAATTTAAGGACCATCCACTGTTGAAAAAAGAGTCCATTAGTGTGAGGGTCTATAAGGCTATTCCTGTACCCTAGATACAATTCAGCTCTGGTTAGCTATTATTAATGGCTCAATTTCGTATAACTCACTTCTAATTGTGATCATTTGATTACATTTTATGACATCAACAGCATATAGATGGGGTGCTTCAATATAATCATCCTAATATCTCTATGAAGTAGTACCACTTTAGTGCTGCTGTTTGCTTTATTTTGCTACAATCACATAATCTTCAAATAGTCTAGATTTTCATTAGAAAGCATGTGCTCAAGCCTTATGTTTGTAGGCTGACTCACTCTGTCAAACCAAAACCAAATTCAAGCCAGTCAGTTTGTGAGATGTCAGAGCAATAGCAGTATAGAAAGTTTTCTCACATAACAAAAGACAGAACAAGCTCTTCTTAAAATCACATCTTCTCATCAATTTTTAATTAGGTCAGACATAATGTCAGATGCAATATGATTTGTATCACCTGAGATACAACACAAAATAAAGATACTCTCTGTTTTGACATCCTTTTTACCAACACAAGCCATAGTTTTACATAAGAATTTTAAACCAAAGTTTCCTTGGGCTGCCGAGAGATAGGAAAACAAACAGCACATCATACATGTCTTGTAGTAATCCTGATGGAACTCGAATGTAAGTTTATGAAAGCAAATACCACCTACTACAAACACCCACAAAATATTAGATAGCCCTGACTGACTGCTGTACTGCTTTAAATGCCTCACAACACCAACACGAATGTTTACAAATTGAATAATGTGATACTCACAGAGCATAGTAACTTAACTAGCAAAGCTCCTTTCTCACAAATGCAGCCTGGTACGCTGAAGTGCAACTAATTCTCATGCGGTTTTATTAATTACATCAAACGAATGTGATTTGACCCCATAACTGTGGTCATTTTGAGATGAGAGTGCAAACTGCTGTGAAAGCGCACGTCTTATGCACTCCCAGCCTTTCTTGTTCCATTACCAAGCTCCCGGATCTCCCCCGGGACCCTGCTGGCAGCAGCTACAAACAGCACAAACCAGCAGGAGCATGCAAGGAACAGGTGCTCCGGCTTATTGCAGCTGCGGTGCGTGCGGTGGGGAGAAAAGCAATTGCTTTTGCTCCCCATCTCTGAAATAGCTACCTACCTGGAGATGTGGCGTTCCCCTCACACAATGCATCCCTAAGGGTGGATCTTGCAAGGTGTTATACTCTTACACAGTTAAACAACCTGTAAGGCTCTTTCTGGAAGAGATGTGGCCTAAAGCACTCCTGTGATCAGGCATTAAATCCAGCCTGTAGTACATTTAATGGAAGATGTTCAGGGCAAAATGAAATATAGAAATGTAAATGTTGCTCGGCAAGCGGCTGAGGAGAAAAAGTAGCCACATAAGCATGCTCTGATCCCAGTATTGCTGTGCTAACACAGCAGCGTAACACAATGGGAAAACACACACCTTACATTGTATCACTTGTGAAAAATCCCAATTGCAGTGATATAACAACAGCACATCCAGCTGAACACATCAGCTTTGGCCGGACATTTCGGTAACATGTTGTTCTGTGGCCGTGCCCTGTTCTCTCTCCTTCCTTCCCTCTTTCACTTTCTGTGTGCCCTGTGAGCTTCGGGTGAAGCCCCTCAGGAGCAGGCTCTCTTCTGGTCAGTGCCACCCGGCACCAAGGACAGAGGCGTTCAGCCCTGGTTTGCCCTCGGTACCACCACAAGCAGTACATGCAAGGTGGAGCATAACTGCGGGAGGGAACCTGTGAGGTTATGTACCCGGCATATAGCCGAGAGCCTCCAGGGCAAGTCATGACATCCCCACGTGCTGGTCAAAGCACAGGGGACGGCTGGCACCCAAAGACGACAGCACCCACGGGTGCTATTGCCCACGCACGTGCCCTTCCAGCCGCTCTGACCCGTGCAACAGCGCTGCTTTGAAATGACCGCTGCCGTTTCAGGGCTTTTATCCCAAGATGAGACGAACTGAGTGCTGAACCCTTCTGATCCACCAGCCAGCACGCTTGCTAATGTAATAAGCAAAACTGCATGAATAGAAAGCTGCAATGGGGCCAGAATCAAATGCTCATTAAAATCGCACTGCTGACCTTTTAAAATGACAACAGCGAATTGTTGGGACTAAAGAAACGGTAAGGGGACAATAAAACCCTATTAGAGCTTTTGCAATCTGTGCTGAGGTGAGCTGCGTATCTCTGCTGCTAAATAAATACAGATTGAAACAACGCGATGCTAGTCACTAGAGGTAGAACAACATAATGTTGTGAGAGGAAATCTAGGCACGTTGGCTGAGACATTTAAGAGTTTCTGTCCCGTATAGAGAGGCCTTAGTCCCAGGGCTGCTCTAAAAGACACGGGCTAGCAGGCAAGCAGCCCTAACGCTGATGGCATGAAACAGCCTTGCACTCCTTTCTCCCAGGTATAAGCAGCCACTGCGGTTCCTGGGAACTGACTCTAAAGCAGCGATTTGTGCAGCTAAGAGGTGTAAATACCTGGCCACACCACGCAGACATGGCAATCACGCTTGCAGAGCAGCTTCTTACCCGGCCCTTGGCGCTGCCAGGCCAGGACATTTCTTTTGCTACATTCCTATTTCCACGTGTGCACGTGTGACTGTAATACCCTGCAAAACCCTGTTTCGATGAATTGTTAGCAACGTGTTAAAGAAACATTCATTTGTGTCTTCAAACTTTGACCGAATTCAGAACAGGTGCCAATTCAGGGCTGAATATAAACTAATGAGACATAAAAACGTCCCTTTGGTAATTCTTTTACAATGCAGCAGGGGGCCATTTCTTCTCAGCCAGCTCCTCTTATTAAATGTCCATCAGCGGGAAATTTGGAATATCCTTTAAGCGTGTTTCTTTAGGGAAACAGCTGAAACCCCTGAACTGTGCATCACTTCAGCACTTGTGCTAACACCACCGCTCATGTAACTTCATTTTTCAGCATCATCTTTTCAGCTTTGGGTTTCAGATTCTTTCCCACTTCCTGAGGCACATTATATACCTGTTTTTAATATCTTAGAGAGCACAGAATAATTTGTTCTCCTGCCCAGCATCTACAGAGTTATTTGGGAACAGCAGGATTTCTTTAATGCTCCTTATTGAATTTCTCTACTTTCTCATTTAAGTGTAGAAAAGCAACTTCTATTCCGCACCCCTCTCAGCAGATTGTAGTAAAAGAGGAAAGCAGAAAAAAAAAAAAACAGCAAAGCTCTGACAGATGGTACCCAGCGTTTGACTCATGCTGGGCTCAGCAGGACCTATAGTTTAGAAGGTTAGGACTGTCAAAAAGACTCTGCTTATCAAGTGAATAACAAAGTGTGGACTGCCAGGCTGTTTCCTATAGAAAACTTGTGTTTTGCATGTAATTCTCTGCTATCTTTCTGATGCTTCCGAAACTTTTGAGGAGCAGATGCATGCTTTTCTATTTAAGAAGCAACTGGGAAGCTGCCATCCTAGGAGCAGCCGGCAGCACGGCAGGCCTGACTCGTGCTAGGGTCAGCGCTGCGCTTCGGGGACCTCAGAGGGGACCAGAGAGCAAAAGGAAAACTCTCCTTCTTCTTCTCCTTCTTCTTCTTCTTCTTCTTCTTCTTCTTCTTCTCCTTCCTTTTCATTGTCCTTCTTTTGCAGTCAGTGAAAAGTTCTTCTCTTAGATTACTGCCCCGGTCTGAGGATCGCTTTAGCGAAGTCACTGTGGTAAAACGTGAGCAAAGGCAGAAAGCTCTGAGCACAAAGCAGCATTTACCAGGCTTCTTTTTAAGTCATTTCCAAGCTCATGTCAGTCAGCGTTTATCCCGGCACAGAAGTATCTGAAGTGACTACAAATGGTAGCGAGCAGACCTGAAAGCAATCCTGAAGTCTGGAGAAATGCAAACACGAGGTTAACAGCTCGTCCCCATGTTTGCTGGTAAGTCTGGACTTTTAACGCTGGGGCCGGGGGGGGGCTTGCTGGTAAATGTAGTGTTACAGTGAATACGTGACAGGCACTGCTATTAATCACCGCTACAGCACTGTAATTATTCTTTTTTCTCCCCAAAATAACGCCAATTAATTTGTTAAACAAGAACATTGTTTTAGTCATAAACTGGTACCAACAGTTAGCAGCTGCTCTGCAGCAGTCAGAATTAATGAGAAAGTAACTGTACAGCAAGAGGCAGCCTCTCCTCTGCCAACACTCGCGCCTCTGTCATTGCCTCATTCGCTTCTTGTTCAGGGCTGTGAAAAATGAAACGAGTGCATTGAGTTTTCAAGTTTAGAGAATATAATTAATTCAATGTGGATTCATCATTGCTATGTCTGGATTCTGAGCTGTTTTATGAAAGACTTAGAGCTAGTTTGGTACCACATGGGCACGGAGGAAGAGCTGCTCCTGGTTTACAGTGAAACAGTCGCGGGCACAGCGAGCAGTGCGACTACACAGACATCAGTGATTTTGGTTACTCTGCTGACAGCAAACCTGCAGCATGAAAAAACAACTGTGTGGTCAGAAATTCTCTCACTGTAATTATTTACTAATTAATATCACATTGATCTTAAGGTTAAGCTAAAGCCAGTGCGATGTGCCTGAAGCATATAGCTCCAGGCATGTTGTGTCTTTGTGTCAGAGTGTTTTTACCTGGTATCGACATCAAAAACTTGCTTTGAGTAAGGCAATGAGCAGAGAGGGTATCTCTTTCATTCTCCACTCCCAGGGAAAAATTCTGGCCTGAAATGTAGTTAATTTATTCAAGTGCTAACTTATTTAAGCAACCCCCTCCTAAAAAAGGGAGGGGGGAATAGGCTGAGCCTACAGCCTGTTGCTTGCTGCCCTACCTGATCTCACTTGGATCAGCTTCCCTTCCCCAATTCAAACGTCTAACAGATCATGTAGAAATCACAAGAGGAAGT